AAAGTCATGTTGAGTGGTTTCGTAATAAATGACGAAATGAAGTTGATGTATTTATTGAGCTATTGCACTCGAGTCGCCGCATGTTTATGCATCCAAATGAAGGATACACTGAGGCTATGAGGATATTACGTCAAGGGTATGGAAAGCCATTTATGATATCCCGCAGTCATTTTGAGACCATTAAATGCAATGGGGCTCACTTAAGTGATAACTTCGAGGAACTCACAGAGGTTTTGGATAATCAAATGGCGTACAGAAATACTCTGTGCGTCGGTGGCATAGCGGCTAGGACGCTCGCCAACCATGCACGCGGTCCGGGGTTCGACCCCCGGCCGACGCACTCCTTTACCTCGCTAAGCCAGAAATAATGCTGCTGGTGAAGAGGAAAGGTTGGGCATCAGGCTAGCAACCCCATCCTGTAAAATAAACACTGCTACAGAAACTTCAAGCCACTAGCTTGAAGCCCTATGTTCCACTGGGGAACGTGAAGAAAAAAAACAAATCAGAAATACTCTCGTTTATCTTAACTGTATGGATGAATTGAACTCAAGCTCTGTTCTTGAGGTACCTACTAATAAATTACCCGTCGCTTACAAACAAAGTTCATAAAAATCAGCCCCCTTTAGAAGAGGATGGTTTAGAGCCCGGGCTAGATTATATCGTGAGACTGGTAAAGGACAGTGTCATTCAAGCGACGGGCAAGTTTGCCAGCATTTTGCATCCAACAGTAGAACCTAAAGAGCCAGAAAATATAGAGAAGTCACTTGTAGTGAAGGCACAAGGCACGATGAGACAAGAAGAGTGTATCATTTACCATAACACGTATCAATTTATTGATTGTAATCGTTTCTTCGCAATGTCTCCTGTAGAAAAGTTGAGAATAGCAAAACAGTAGCGGTTGTGTTTTAGTTGCTTCTGAGTGGGACACACAAGGTTGAACTGCAAGGCAACAGACAAGGGAGGTAGCAGTTCGACAGATCTGTATCCACTTTTGAGGATAGTAAACGAACCGGCGAATTCCGTTAATTGTAACAGTACCTTTAGACCTCATGACGAGGATGGTGCGGTGAAGAAGCCTGTAGTTGCGACTGATAAGCCATTGTTGAATAGCGTGTTACAGACGACATCGCATTAACATATGTGTAAAACTTGGGCACTGTGGTAGTAAGTAATTCCATATTAGTTTGTTCATTAGGTATATCACACAGTGAAACAGTATTATTTACTGGATGACATTTCGAACAAAATTTATTGTTCATAATCATATCAATTGGGATCACACGACTTTGACACTTGAGTTTTATAGCTTTCTTTGTTTTCTCCTATTTGTCGTAGGGGGAGTAGAAAATATGAGACGACATCGCAGTTTGTGCAGAAGAAGAGAGTTACAGTTTCATAGTCTGGTTTTGACTCCACAAGCTTACAGGGTATTACTAGTCAAAGTAAAGGTATAAAACATTTAAGGATTAATGAAGAAGAATCCAAGTTATCTACTGCTGTTATTAAAGAGGTTGAAAATAATGGAGTCGACCATATAAACGGCGGTAAAGTGAATATTTGTGATAATGATCATGATAGAGCACATTTGTCTTTGGCAGATCATGATGAGACGAGCGGAATGCCTACTACTACTGAGTTGAAAAATAGGTTCTGTACAACTTGAACGTGAAGTAGAATTAAAGGCAGAACTCCCTGTTTTGTTCCGAAATTTCAGCTACTGAGTGGTCACTATTCAGCCAAAATAATCCAAAGTTGTAAACAGACTACTGATCGATCATCTGAGGTGGCAACTGAAAAACGAAAGCAACGTGCATGAAGCTCAACAGTGTATCAGAAATGAGAGGTTTCGTACAGCCAATTTAATGGCAGCCTCCAATAAGTGAAGAGCATTCTCGCTTAACTGCCAACACTCATACGACACTAGCAGTAGTAGATTTTAGACATGTATTATGAAAGCACTCTGGTAGGCAAGTATAACGGGGATCTCAGCCAAACATCAGGAAGAGCATTCGTGATCAAGTAGTTAAAAAAGGCTTACAAATCACAATACATGGTGACTAGTCTCATCTTTTTGGGTCTCTTAATCACTAACTGTTTCTGAGTGCCCATAACACCCTGTGTAGTGGAGACCCTACAACTCTGCATCATACCGTCACATAAGCGACTCTAAGTTCGCTAGTTCCATTAACCTCTCTTTTGGAGTCAAAGTTAAGGCTTTCCATTGACTGCATTTGCTTCAGACTTGAGCCCTAATAGAACCATAATATTGACTGATGAATCTTTGCTCTGAATCTTTACAGCATGAAGGTAACGCATACATATAACGAATCCATTAAGAACAAGTTAACACTGTTTACCTAGGATTTTATGAAGCAAATTTATACCCCTGATTATCCAAGAACTCTCAAAGCCCATCTTTTCTACTGAATTTCCTATACCGTACTGTCAGCAGTAATTTCAAATTTTACGTATCCTGAGCTGCACATCAATAATCACCTAGAAATTAATTTTTTCAGCAGAACGTCTTCTAAAACAATTAAGAAGGGCTTTCCTGATTGTGCTCCTCCAGCTTTAGGCCATTCGAATGAATTCCGTGCAGTGAGATGTGAACTCAACCTTCACTCATCGATGGAGCCGTTTCACTGCCCAGATGGCTGGAGGGTGATATGTTGAACAGCGAATTCTGTGCGGTCCAGAGCTTGCGTAGGCCTTCGAATTGATTTCTGACGAGGTCTTATTCCGGAACTTCTGTGAAATTATGCACCGGTAGTTCAAGTGGAAATTCTTATTCTGCCGTTATCCTTGAACCTTGAAATCAGTCTCCCGAATAACTTGAGGTCTGCAGCAGTTTTCTTATACAGAAGGTGTGAAGCTATGTAGGATCATCTGGAATGAGGAGGAATCGGTTGTGTTGCAAATGCACCTGACCAAGTTGGAGGATCAGGTCACAGATGACAAATCAGCTTTCAGTAATAATCAATATCGAAAAGTATCCATTCATACAATATTGGGGTAGGAGTTCTCCCAGGGCTCATGTGGGACCAGACTTACTGGTGCAGAGACAGTTTGAAACGTCGCGCTTCTCCTCACAGACTAAGTAAGCATAATTTCTGGGGATAGTGGAAATGGAGCCAGAGCAACCAGTACAAACAATTTTTCACATCAGCAGCTAGGAGCACTTGTACCTGGACAGTGTATGTAGCTATACAAAACAAATATTCTCAACTCCCGTCGGAACAGCTGAAATTCATAAACCTTCCTCATGCTAAGAAAATGCCTACAAGCAGTAGAAATCCATTAATTAATGCGTCTGAAGCTCATGTATTTACTCCCAACAATGACATTGCAGATCAAATGAGATAAACACATCACTGATTTCAAAATAACACATCAATGAACTATAATTCAAGGATTCTGCACACAACGAAGTTATGCATGAAAATTGACTTCAAGCTTTATTTTTTTCCAGGCACTTGTAATCCATCCACCAAAGACCTGGTTTTTTTGTTAATGCCAAGACAATACTCCTGTATTTCCTGATGTGTTGCACTCACTGACAATCTAGCAGATTTTTCCAACTGTGCACAGAAATGATTGTATATAAGTGAAAAAGCTGTTTTATACTACTGGGATTAACATTTATCAAGTGTATGTATTATCTCCAGCGGACATGTAAAGCATATTTTGTTGCAGCGTGTAAATTTTGATTGAATTATATGGTTCTATTTCTGTGACAATTTCATGTTGCCTGTAAACTGGCGTCCCTCATGTACTGTACTATGAGAACAAATTTATTTATTTATTCATGTGCGTAAAGAGGGAATATATTATTGTAAGACGCCTTTTATTGTTTTATGAGGGACTTGACTTCAAGCTTTATTTATTTTCCCAAGTATCTGTAATCCACCCAACGCATACTTGGGTTTTTTTGTTAATGCGAAGTCAATATCTCTATATTTCTTGGTGTGTTCCATTGAATCACCACAAACTAAAGATAAAATGACAGAAACCATGTTATTTAACCGTAAATCATGTAACTTAAATATGTAACTTAAATAATACTTATCCATGGCTTTACAACTTGTGTCCTGCATTTGTAGGAATAATTACGTACATTATCATATTGTCATTACTGACTATACTTAATAATCGTATGTGTAATTTATCTAATTGATGATGCCTGTAAACTGGCGTCCCTCATGTAAAAAATGAGAATATACTATTTTTATTATTATTTAAATGCATGACCGAATTTAGTACTTTACGATGCCACTGTACCACCACTCCTAGAAATAGTGTGAAGTAGGACTTCCAATACCGTTCTTTTACTAAAATGACAGCTGTATGGAGACCGATTCTGAACAATTTCATGTACTACAGATCTAGGTGCAACCTCTTTATGATGTGTAATTTTACACAGACTGATGAATTTCAAAAACTTCATGCAATTCTTCCCATTAATAAACTTGAACAAAGCAAGAACAACAATTGTACCAGGATAATATGAGCTCATTTTTTATTATTTCGAGGATTCTTCTCAACTGGTTACAACCTGAACGATGAAAAATGTGAATTACATTACATTAAAGATTTGGACATAATTTTCCACGATCACAAGGAGTAATATGTAGGAAGTAAAAGTAGCATTAGTCCGGAATGATTTAACTAATTGAGAGTTACAAACACTGACTATTTATAGAACAATTCAAATGAACTGTGATCAATATTTGACAGTTTATAAATTTTTTATCCGTAATCGAGCGTAATTAGTCTAATTTCATGTTGAATAACAGATTTCGTTTGTTTATTACCTACTGGCTTAGTTTTTAAATCTAAAACTCATTCTGCCATATTTTCACTTTATTCTATGTAAAACAAAAACCAAGAAAAAAGTCTTACAATTTATACCCAAAATATGAAACGTTTTATTATTAAGCCTTATATAAAGAAAGATAAGTTGACTAACAGACTTGAGTAAGCTGAAATGCTCATTGATTGGTTCAAATAAGAAACCGACAGAAATTATCTACCCAACTTACTGTATATGACGGAACTCTTTGCTTATCTGATGAATCGTAAACATCAGAATTAATATCATATTTATATGTTGGAGGGAAACGAATACGACCTTCATCAAAATTACGGAAAACGATACCTAACAAAAGGATAAAACACAAAAAGAAAATGATGAAAGTGGGAATAAATTCTATCTCAAAGAAAATAATAAGTCTTCATAAGGATTTGATTGGTTCCACAGTTTGTGTTGTTACGAAGATATTCTATTGAGTGCTACTGACAAGATTTATCAGTAGTATATAAAAAGGTCTTCATCGGCGTAAAGACATCTGATAGCAGGAAAATACATTTGATTTCAGAGAAGGTAAATGATACAGCGTTGTGCAAATACATTGGAGAAGTGAAAGGAACACAAAGAGACACAACATGAAGTCCAGAAGTATCACAACACGAACAGCTGTGCAAATGGCGTGTTGAAGATAAGGTATACATAATTTAGCTATATAGAGATATCACCATACGTAACGAGGTCTTTGTCTTCTACCGGTTCAGTATTTCTCTTAATAAAATATTCAGAGAAAACAAAAACACTAAAAAGCGGCTGCATAATCCACAATTATACGATTAATCCGGTTTAAGACCGTCAAGTTAATTAATTACTTTATGTTTGATCAGTGTTAGCTGGCAGTAGAATTTAGAACGCATATTTCGTCCTGTTTAAGAGTCATCTGGTAGATGTGTTTGTATCATCAGATAATGGAGACAGGGACAACGAATCCATCGTCTCAAACGCCAAAGCATTATTTACAGGGGTCACCTTTTGTGCAGAGAGTATCAGCTATTTATTTCTTTTTTGGGATTTACTGCGTCATCAGGTTACAGTTCAACGACTAACAGCTTTCAAAAAGTCACTTTTTGGTGGAATTATCCATTTAAAATAATTAGTTCCCTTTGTGAATTTAGACAAAGCGATAAGAAGACGTAATTTTTCTTAATCATGTAATGTATTTGTACAACACATTTCGAACAATCTGATCACTCGTGGACTTGTCATAGGAATATGTATGAAATTAATTAATAAAGAGTTAAGATGTGAGAAAATAGACTTAGGTCAAGTTAAAAGGAACAATGGAATCTTCAGAACTGAATAATGGTGAGAACAGAAGACCTAGCTCCTCTCTTGTGAAACATATTATAGAGACAGGACATTAAATTGATTTTTACACGTCTTTTGAACCTATCTATAAAACGTGTCTGCGGTGTATTTTAAAGTTTGTGGAAGTCCCAGAAATTAGGAAGTTTAAACCACCTTTATGCAATCAAAACAACAATTCGTCATCACACTAAACCTTCTTCGGTAAACTCTGTTTTGATACCAGGGTAGACGTACCATTACTTCTTTTATTTGGTTTATTGATCTTCATTGTTATTTTGACCTTCAATGTATTCTTTTAACTTGACCTAAGTCTACTTTCTCACGTTTTAGCTCTTTATTAATTATATATATATATATATATTTCTATGACAAGTCCGTGTGTTATCAGATTGTTCGAAATGTGTTGCGCAAATACATCACACGATTTAGACGAATTACGTCTTCTTATTGCTTTGTTGGAGTTATTTATGTCTCCCATTATAAAATTACAAGGATGATTGATTAAATTTCGTATATCATGGCTCCATATAAACACTTCAGTATTCTGCTATTGACTGAATCCCGTAACCCAAAGAAAAAATACTACTAATTCTATTGATAGATAGATATGTAACAACAGAAGACAAGGGCCAGGCAACAGAACGTTTATTAAGGAAAATCAACACATATTTATAGATTTTTATGTACATTATTGTAGGTTAATGTTAGTAGAAAATACAGTCTGTTGATTGGTTGTTTCTCACACAAAGTTAACCTTGCATCTCTTGTGGCTGTGTCGGTTCATCTATATGTTAACTGTATCCGCCTGTCCATCTTGACCTTGTTTTCACATGAACAACATTGACCTCAATTACTGTCAACCAATTTGGCTAGCAACCATCTCTCACCACAGATATGCATATATACATAGCATTATTTCCGAGTGGAAAATTGCGCTTCGAATGCCACATTTCCATTCCACGAAGTTCTCCACTACTATTTCCAACGGGTTTCATGACTGTCCCCAGGCTTTCATTTCCCCATCACAACATATCCTACACGTCGTCGTCTCATCCCCAACCCGTCGCCCTCCGGTAGGGTTTCACTCGACTGTATGAAGTGTGATGTCATTCAATGGTCTCCTCATTCTTCCTTCAGTCCATCTTCATTTCTGTCTGCAAATTTGTTGGACAAAAGCTTCTTCTTGACTGGTTTCCTTCCTGTAAAAGTTTATTGTTACTTATCCATTTTAGCTGTCTGATCTTCACTATGGGGTGGAAGTACCTGTTGACGAAAGTATGCTGTCTGTTGGAAATGGCTTTAGAGATGTACCAATTCTCTGAACTTTAACGTCGGTTAAAATACCAACTGATGTGAAATGCTAAATGAGAATTTTTTTGAACATATCCAAAAGATTTTCGAGCATACATGCATCTTCAATATTTTTTAAATTCTTTTACGTTCCCAGTGGAACATAGGGATTCAAGCTTTGGCTTTGAAGTTTCATTAGCAGTGGGGCTTTTTAACAGGGTGGGGTGGCTCACGGCCAACTATCCCTCTTTGTCCGGATTATGATCGGCTAATGAAGGCAAAGGTGTACGCCGGCCGGGACTCGAACCTCGGACCACGTGCATGGTCTCCTAGCACTCTACTGCTGAACCACCGATGCAACGATGCATCTTGAATATTAAGAAAGTGAGAAGAAGAAAACCGATGTCTACTATTCATGTGTAATGAAGAGTCCCAAACAAGGACGAAACAGAAGTCCAGTACTCTCAGGTTTTCCAATGGTTCTCTAACCAATGTCAGCTCATGATGAAATCCTCCATCCAATCAAACAAAATCCCTACAAACCAATACTTGAATTCCCTTATTGTCAGGTTAAATAAAAAGTGGAATTGTATTACAGAAAACATATATGTTACTGAATAATTATATTAGAATTATTTATGCCTACTACTACTGTAAAATTACAATTATAATGATAATTATATGCATTAGTATGCTCTGTTTAACTTCAGAAAATCTTTTGAATGATCACATGAGATTAGTTTTTATTGCACGTGAAGACATGCAAAAAAATGATATAAATATTATAATAGCATGTATCAAAAGTATTCGTTGGCATAGTTACTGACTATTTGTTATGATAATGTGATTTTCTTCCTCCCCCCCCCCCCAACTTTTTATTATTGACATTTTGAACATTTTCACTAACATTACCTTTAATGACTTCATACATTTATTCGCCTTTATGAATTTCAAATAAGACAAGAACAACAGTGATTTGTGCAGAATAAGACGATGGTTCGATCATTGCTTATTTCGTTGGCTTGTCATCATCTGCTTACAGCCTAAAGAAATTATCAAATTTATGTACAGAAAGGTTTTAACATACTTGCAAATTATACATGATGTCAGCTGACAGGAGGTTCCGGAATTAGTGAACAGTGCTCAGAAAATTGCGCTTATATAGTTTTTACACAGGCAGTTCAAGTTTAAACAAAGTAAATGTATGCATACAATGATAAAGGAGTTACGTAATAAAGATGAGAGGTGCATAAGATGATGAGTAACTTTTAAACTAGGTAACAATGTACTGAGTTCAACTGAAATCATAGAAACAAGAGACGAGCAAAATCACGGTGTATCAAAGGGGGATGAGGTTAAAGCCAAAGATTACGTAACCGGGTAAAGGAGAGAATAAAGACATCCAGTTACCAGACAGGGCAAGGAAAGACTGATAATTGCTTCTTTCTGAACACATAAATCGGGTTTCAGGCGTATATCTGCGGGAGCAGTTACATTCGGAGAACAGAAAGAAGGGCACACCTGCGATTTTCTGAACATGTGCGTCGGTGGCACAGTGGTTAGGACTCTCGCCGACCATGCACATGGTCCGGGGTTTGATCCCCTGCCGGCGCACACCCAATATCTATGGTCGGCCTGTAAATTTGGGCTACCGATATCCATGCTGAAAATTCCATACTTGTACTGAAAATACGGTATGGAATCAAGCTGTAATCAAAATTAAAAATTAAAAAAAAACATGTGCCGAAAACCCTATATCTTAAGGAAAACGCACATAGTGCCATTACCAGGCATCTCCTTGATACAGAAATCGCAAAATCCTTTGAAGTTACCAATAGACAAAGGAGCTCAGTTCTCCTCCAGTTTGCTGAAGCAACCTCTATCAAACGCCTAAAATCTGATTTATGTGTTCAGAAAGAAGCAGTTATCGGTCTTTCCTTGCCCTGCCTGGTAACTGGATGTCTTTATTTTCTCTTTCATTTGACTAAGTAATCTTTGTAGTTTTGTTTGTCTCTTGTTTCTATGATTTGAGTTGGACTCAGTACATTGTCACCCGATTTATTAGTTACTCATCATCTTATGCACCTCTCGTCTTTATTACGTAACTCCTTTACCATTGTATGCATACATTTACTTTGTTTCAACGTGAACTGCCTCTGTAAATAATAAATATAAGCTTAATTTTCTTAGCAAGTATGCAAGTATGTTAAAACTTTTCTGTACATAAACTTAATAATTTCTTTAGGCTGTAAGCAGATGATGAGAAGCCAACGAAATAAGCAATGATGATACCATCGTCTTATTCTGCACAAACCACTGTTGTTCTTGCTTTATTCAAACTTTAATGATTCTTTAATCGGTAACATCTTTGATTATTGAAATCAATAAGGGCAACAAGGCCAGAGATACCTACCTAGTAGTAGCTCTCTTATGACTTAACCGTTGTATGAAGAATGTTAATAAATTCACCCGGATGAAGATATTAGTAATTTAAGAGGGACATTTCGGTCACAATGTAGTCGTTTGTTGATGAATTTGCGTGTAATTAGTAGATTTTATAGTAGTACGCATCAACAGTCGACATCACTGAGACAATTAGCGAAAGCAAAAGAATATACGATTGCTGCGTCGTCCCACTTTAAGACTCTTCAACACTGACATTTTGATCATTGCATTAATTTTATTGGTCAGTTATCGCCCCGTTAACTTGTTGATATTGTGATTAAACTTATCACCACTTGACTGGAGAATTTTTTGTACTGTATTAAAGTTGCTTTATACATACACATATTAGAGTAGAACCGTAGATAAAGATCCAATTGAAAAGTAAGCATTTCTTCGCTCAATCCCTTTCTCATCTAAACAACTATAATTGTGATCCGTACACAGCTCTAGATTTAAAGTACAATATTGAGTAATTAGTTATGTGTACGTCAGTGGATTAGCGGTAGAATGCTTGCCAACCACGCCACACGTGGTCCGGTGTTTGATCCCCTGTCGACGCATCCCCGATTCACTACTAGTCCGTAGTAAACTCTCCAAGCAGGGAAGGCTGTGAATGAGGCTAGCGACCCCATTCCATAAGGAAAAACACCATGGCTACTGAAACTTGGAAGCTCAAGCTTGAAGCCTTGTGTTCCACCCAAAATGCAAAGGAATAAAATAAATTCAAATAATAATAATTACCTTGTGCTTGAGCATTCAATAATTCATCAGCTGATAAAAGTTCTTCATAGTTTTTATGCTTATATTTTCCTTTGATAATATTTTCAACAATATTTCTTGGTCTTTGTATTCGAAAATTTAAATCACCCGCCCAAAATACAACATCAAATCGATCCATTGGATTGGGTTCTAATGAAACAGTTAAGGGGGGGAAGATTTTGATAAAGACTCCGATTACAGCCACTTATTTGTTCACTGAACACATATATGATCTTTTAGGAATTTTGTTAAGTGTAATAGATTAGATCAACACATATATTGCTCATGGTTTTCGTTTGGGCCTAACTTACTTATCAGTTAGTAAGTCATTCTGAAGAAGCTCATACTGGCGAAAACTGGAAGATAAATTCAACTACAAGTCACATTTAAGGTAAATTACTAGGATAGTATATAGATTTCTTCCGTTTCGCACCAATCTGAAACAAAATCGATCAATAGAGCAAGAAGGACCTGTTCCCTAGGAAATAAATTAGTGCATATCCAAAATACTCTGATCCAAACGGATTATCCTGGTAGATGTGTAAGAAGGCATATGAATACTGTGTATAACAAAGAGAGACCGAAAACGGCTGAAAAGAAATAGTTGTTCATGAAACTGCAATTCACAGGGGACGTAGTTAGTGAAGTCCTATATCTAAGATTAACTAGGGGTGTAACACGGACTTATACTGCTGTCACCCTTTGTTTTTCATTTCCCAGACGACCAATTATGATCGCTCAAGTGAAAGATAAGCTACCTAGCTGTGCCAATTCAGTGTGCATTTACAAGTGTAACTGCTGCTACGGAGAAAGCTAATATAGGGTGAACAACTAGACAGCTCAGAAAACGCATTACTAAGTATCTTCTTGCATGATCCGGAAAAGGTCTGTAAAAGTTTTTGTTATTTTGTCTCATTTAATTGATGGTGATCACCAAGTGGATAGGAGAAAAAGAGCCTTCAAAAGTATCTATCGCATTCCATCAAACCTTTTGAATGGAATTCGAATCTACCTTTTACACATAACCAAAGCTATGGAAATTCAAGAAAACAATCCTAGTCTTTGCTTAAAAAAGAAGTTTGTTCTGCCTTCTAATTAAAACTCCCCGTGTTTTCTTATTCTTCATTTCCTTCGTACTTTTATGGCACTTTATTTAAACTCTGATTACCTATCCACTTCATATTTAGAGTTTCATAACGTTTCTATAGTTGGTTTGTAAGGATCAGTTTTGTTTTTACGAGTTGATCACGGATTGATATCAGCTAGAGAAGCATTGAAAACCAGCACTGGAGTACTGGACAGCTGTTTCACCCTAGTTTGGGAATCATCGGCAGTACGCACCCACTGGGGTTTAAACCCAGGACCTTCCGGTTACAAGTTAATCTCGTATACCATTCAGTCACTGGGACCCGATTCAATGGCCCATCAATTCTAGCTTCTACCAATTCGTGATTTTGCGCGACTCCAACCAATGTCGTCGGTGGGATATCCATCGTCACTTGTGACATCTGGATGGACCCCACTGGTCACGACTTCTTACTAGAACTCCAGGAAACTCCGTCCTGTGGGTACTAGCGAGCATCAGATTAATTCTAAAGAGTTGATTTGTAAGGATTATTTAGTTGATTTATTGAATTGTTTGCATAATGATACTACCTTCATTATTCTTATCGCCACCTGCATAAACTTCTTGTACTTTTGTTATCATCAAACTTATTATCATTATTTTTGCTGTTATTATAATCATCGTTATTAGTGACATTCAAAACATTTAACATTTATTATCATTTTTGATCCACAAACTCACCTTCAACGGTTAAACTTTTCTACATAAAGCTGTGTACATTAGAGTAAAGCCTGAAGAAGACCTAATTGAAAACAATACTGTTTGCTTATATATCTTATTTTAAATCGGTAGGGCATGAATGTTTCAAGCTCAATTAAGTCCCAAAATAACTTGACTTCATGGTATCATCAATGGGAGTAGAATTTAAAGTCTAATTTAATTTGCAAACTACTAATTCCAAGAAAGCTCATGAATTCCTTCGAATCAAAACGGCTGGAACATGGGTTACTGCAACTAAGCCACCGCCTGCTTTAATGTGTGTTATTACCTGGAGTAGATCAGCGACGTACAAAAGTTGACAGTGACGCATCTGTCCTATATGCAGTCATAATACTATTAATAAATATTATATTCATCAAGAAAAATGAATTTATAAACAAATTCTCAGTCAATGTTTGTTTTCTCAAATTTAACATACCATTATATTTATATCCTTTGTTGAAACCAACTTTTGGCAAATTTATACTATCTACTACTTGTAAGTAGTCTTGAACTCTCCGTTCAAAATTTGTATGGCTAGCTAAGAGGAATAAGGAAAACAAAATAAAAACATTAATTAGCTGAAATCCCAACTGATAACATTTTAAGTTAGATAAAGAACTGACATCAATTAGAGGACCTGTGAAAACTACGAGGGAGTACTGAACACCTACTTCGTATTTGTATTTGTGCCTCTTCAAGATGGTCCACCCTGGACCTTCAGGTTGTGAGGAGAACCCGTTGACCATTCAACCAGTGGGACAGGATACAAGGCCCCACGGATTCTAAGTTCTTCTAACAGTGATTTCTGTTTTTCAACAAACCTCTTATATTCATAGCAATTCGTGAAGTAACTAGAAATCAATCACAACCTTGTAAATCAACACTCGATAATTACACTTTACTTCACATTCAGCTTTATTTTATTGTAAACGTACTGCATGCCACCGAAATATATCTTTATTGTATTTAAATTATATAATAAATACGATGTGAAATTTATAAGCTCCATAAGATATTAGACATCAATTGTTGAAAGAGTCTTATGAGATGGGCCAAAATTATTTACACTGCAGCCTATGTATTCACTGTTTATAGACCTAAAGGCTTCAAACAGTATCATTAGTCTTAATTTAATCATTTTTTCATCTTATGCAATCATGTTTCAGGATTTCATCATGAGCTGAAATTGGTTAAAGAACCATTGGAAAACCTGGGTATTTTTCCAGGTCCCATCAAGAGTCAAATAAACCAATCAAATCCCTGAAAACCAACACTTGAATGTCAGTCTGATGCTCATTAGTGACTGGCCCTATTCAAGTAGGTAGCTACCTGGGTTCTACTAAGAATTCGTGACCAGTGGAGTATAACAGGTTGGGTGTGAGGACAAATACTCGCCAGAGATGACACTGGCTAGTGTCAGTCTCGCTTCTATCGTGAATTGGCAAAAGTTGGAATTCATGGGCCATTGGATAGGGTCCCAGTGGCCTAACTGTCCACCAGCTGGCCTTGTAACCGGAAGGTCCTAAGTTCGAACTCCTGTGGTGGTTGCGTACTGATGTAGAGTCCCAAACTGGGACGTAACAGCTGTCCTGAACTAATCTTCCTAATCAGTGCCTCCAACAATCCAACATCATTCCCAAGTATCCTGTAATCGTAGGTCTTTTGGCATGATGACCATATTGCAAACACAACTGGACAAAGATGGAGGAAATAATATGATATTAGATTTTTACTAGGGATTTATCAATCATTTTTTCTTTCATACAGAGTCCCACAGATAAAGCAAGCTTACATGATTTAAGTTTTATTCGTCTGTACTAGTACCTAGATTGAACTGTTAAAGAGTCCTTAAATGTAAACAAAGATTCCGACTGTTAGTTTTTTTTTAAAAAAAGATTATTTAGTTAATGCTGCGTTAAACAAATACAAACATTATCGCAGTTTACATAAACAGTGAGAAATTCAATTTCCAATCAGTAAAAAAGTAAGATATCTCACTGTTACAACAATTCTATTTATGAAATGGTAGAAAAAGTCAGTAAAATTATTTCACCTAGGTAATATGAGACAGAGAGAAAATAAATAAATAAATGTAATAATAATATGAGTATGAATACGAATACAATAATATAACACGAATGTTGAATATAATGCAGGTAGATGTGTAGGGCGTTTATCAACTGATATATTTAGGTCAATAATTTATTTACTTATACGATAATTGAAGAAGTTTAGTTTGAAAGTACATTATATTCCATCTCTCCTTTAATTTACTTGAATAAATGCTGATTTAAATTTAAATGCATTCAACAAGTTCAAATATTAAGACTAAAAATAGGTCACAATGATATATAAATACATTTACGACATTATTTCATCAACTTACCTTTGAAATGAGCTGAAAGGAATAAGATTGATGTCCCGAAAAGTATAAAACAGATAGCTACCGCCCCTTTAGTTCTTACAGCAGCTGTAGTTGTTACTCCAACTGATTGAGGCACTAGAAGAAGATTATGAATCGATCAGTACAAATTAAGGAAAAGCAAAGATAGTAAATACTGATGAAAGCTAGAAAAAAACTGGTCAGTTAAACTGATCACCCAATGTTGAGCAATGTATCTATCTAGTCATAAGTGTGTTGAGCGAAATCTGTTGACCGGGGATGCGAATTCAGTATAGTTATTCGGAATACTAGTGGTCTAAATGTTTCTAAGTTTACTAAATTTGTTTTCCTTCCCTGTTTTAACTAACTCTGAAAATAATTGATGATCCATATTTATCTTTTCTGCTCCTAAGAACTTTCTATTGATTATGTCTCACTTGCTCAAATTTTAAATTTCAGCAACTTTTTCTGTTTAACGCTTATACTCAAAGTTCTAGATTATTTAGACTGATTGAGTTGGAGCGTTATCGCAATGTTGATATTAACATAAAATTTTAATGAATAGCCAGTGACCAGTTAATCAGTGAATGACTGTTTGGCTTTGAAACGGTTTATAGGTTCGATACTGTGATTGACATTTTTTCAAAAGAACAACTCATCGTCTATTTATTCAGAAAATGTATTACCCAACTAAACTGTGAGATACCTCCATGTTCATAAAATAGGAAAAAGGGTTTTCCATATTCAAAACACTTTATGAAATAACTTGCTTAGAAACAACCAAAGTGTCACAAATATTTCAGTAAATGTAAATTTAAATATTCAATAAGAATCTAGTGAAGTTATGATTCTCTGTTTATCACAGTGATCATTAGTTAATTCTTTCAGATCTTACGTTAGCCAGGAATTCCGCTGATTTCAAAGATTAATCTCTTCTGTTGCAATTAGAGTTGGAAAATGACTGAGGAGCGGTGAGTATTCTACCGCTACCTTCACCTTACTGGGAACTCTTCGGCAAAACATACCCGTATTTTCAATTGCATCATTGGAGTCATTTAGTGATAACTAGTGACTAGATCATACATAGATTTCTTAAGTTTAGTAAAACATCGTGACAACTGGGAATAGTTACTCCCAGATTCTGTTGGATAGTGATAGCATTAGGCCATATACTGATGAAAATCAGAAACTATGGGTCATTAAGTTCTGATTCAGTTACTCAGCAGTAACCTGCCTGAACGAAAAACTATTTAACATAAGTTTTCTGCATTTGTTCAGAGATTTCAAAACGAAGATCTTAAACATATTTTATGAAAGAATATTTCACATTAAGATCGTCATTTCGATTGATTCTGGAGAGCTAAAGAGGTTATGTATTAATAAGTATCACTAAAAGTTTCTAATCAGCATACTGCAAAATAATGAGGTTAAAGCGTACAGTCATATTTACGACTGCATCTTCAATAATGGTTACTTTATCCTGAGGAATAGAGAGGTTTCGCGTGCTCTTCGGGTTGTGAGGGCGATTGTTACTTCCCGGCTGCCCACACCGTGGAAGTTGGTTGCGTGACCGCAGAGCCCAGGGGACAACTGCTTGAGGCCGGTCACACACGGCCTGTTTTTGTTTGTTCTTTTTTATTTGGTGTGTCTCAGTAGCGTATTTATCACTTCTGCCCTGTGACACGGCAGCAGAAAGCGCGGTCGTTGTTAATCCGGGCCCCGACCGATCCGGCATGATATTTTGTGATTTGTTTGAAGTCATGGGATTGGATTGGGTAACTGCTTTTAGTCTAACCGCTATCCAAACAACCTTTCTGGCATGGTAAGACCTGCAGGAACATAAGTTCCAGCCAGTATAGCTTGTTGGGTCATTGCGGTGTTCAAGCCCGACCACCACGTCAAGGTAGCAGCTTTCGGTCGGGTTACTTTCATCCGAAAGTGTTTATAGATTACCTACCTGATTTTTCGTACTTTTTCTAAGAATTAGTCATACTGAAATAGAATCTTCGTATAAACTTAACATTAAAAATATAAATATGCACTGTATAAAACAGCAACTAATGCATATGTGTGATAAAAACACCTATGAAAGTACAAGACTCGTCTTGATCACTAATTAAAATAGAAATTGCCTACTAGAACTTCACATGTACTTTATTCCTTTTTTGTTCGTTGGGAAGGCAGCGATGATTTTTCTAATACTTAAGAAAAACAACATCTAAACTAGAAAAATGTCAAAGTATTTTTAATACAAGCGACAAAATTAAAAACAAATAGCTAATAAAATTCCTACATACCTGATGTATACCATATTAAGTCACGGTTTAGAAATATCATTAACGCCAATGTTCCATGAGTTGCATAGGTAAACAGAACATGTTTAATTCCAATAGCTGCTTGTAACCGAATAAGAAGTTCATTTCTATGAATAATAAAATAAATTTCCGTAGGAATTTTTAGCAGAAAAATAACCCATAACAAAATGAAAGCTAACTTCGTTTTTAACTTCAGGGTATAAAAAAGCCTTGTTTTCAGCCTACGGTAGGTGAATTTAAGCGATTAAAACGTTCAGAGATATGATAACTCTCCTTCAGTACTCTTTTCTACATCAACTTTTTGTTATAACTGACTGGGTGAAATGTGTCTATAAAACCTATGATAATTCGAGTATAATTTCGTGAAGTGAGTGAAGAAATTAGATGTTACAATCAAGGTCAGACTGAGGTGTAGACGTATCAGCAAGGCACCCTGAGATGGAGAAATTAAGGTAATTTAACACAGATTCTTACAATTACGAATATACCAGACATCGCCTGCAACTGTGTCGGGTGATGAAGGTTTGTAGATATGATAAATCACGCAATCACACTAAGCACTCATAAACGTTGCTTTGTTCATAGCTCACTAAGTACATGTGAACAACATTTAGCAATCCTAATGTTTTGTCCTAAAGCATTGCGCTTAACAGTTATTCAGTAAGAACCCTATATAGAAAATACAGGAGAGTGAAAAATCAGTGGGGCTGGAAAAAGAGGATAAATAATTGTATATAGTTCAGTTTACTGCTTATAGTATAAGGGATTTCTAACAATTGAATACTTTGAGCACTACTGTAAACTATGACTGTACTCTGTAATACATAAACTAACTAAATATTCAAATACAAACACTCACTTATCGGAAGAACATTCTTGTATACATACAGCATAAATGCTTGCAGACTCTTCGGAAGTCCCACTGAAGAAGAGATCACCCAAGTCTTCAGGATAATACTTTTCTATAAACTTAGTGAAAGAATTTGCATTTTACTTGAGACTTCGCTGACGACATATTCCAGGTGACAACTTGAATCTCAATGCTCCCTCCTGGAATCATTTTGTTAAGCTCCTTAGTCCCCAATAATGAGCCAGCCCCTCCAGCAATACTGCCAACTAGATAATTTCTGCTTGGTAAGGGAATTCCAGAGCACACCTACTTGGTGGTTAATTCACTTTTTGTTGTTGTGCATGATGAAACAAGTGATGCAATACTTTCTGAGGGCCGAAGTTTATAACCACAAGAGACATTCGAACTTTCATCTATAGCTTCTGCTGATGGAACCTCTAACTCAATCTTGAGGCTTGGTGAGCCGTCCATATTGGATTCTATCTCCTCATACAAACGAGTTAACTAAGAGTAAATTTCAGGACTGGCATCGTCTATTTGCCAAACCAGATGTTTGATGATATTTTATATAGTGCACTCTCTCGTGTAGTTTAGGCCTCAAAAGTTTAGGGCAGTAAAACAAATGTTTCAGAAGTGATGATCAAAGATTGCTCTCAGAGGTTCTTTTGATAAACCTTTTCCCAGAAATGATGGAAACAGTACATTAGACATATCTTTACTTGAATATGGATCAAACAAGATCACCCTAATAGTACCGATCTATAAAGTAATCGTCTAGTTTCTGACTGAAGATACTATTCTTTTCAAGATGACCACCTCCATCTGTTGTTAAAATTTATTCATTTTCTGTTCTATATACTGTATATCTGGGAGATTCGGCAACAGAAGGCTCAAAATTTCGCTTCTTATTAATGAAGACCCTAACTAGTTTACAAAAGCATACGGCCTGTCAGAACATCTCATCGTTACCTTTGCTTGCGGCAGCCTACTTTTTCGCTAGGTTTTCCATGATAAGGTTTATGCAACAAAGAATGGATACTATGTTCTCTCTCCCTATGGGAAAGAGTTAATGTAAGCAGTGAACTTTCAGTCGAAGAACAGAATTGTTTTAAGAGAGTACTTTCTTGATTGGCAAACCTTCTGATTGCACTGAAAAGATATAAATGCAGCTGGCACTAATAAACCAGTGGATTTGATATTCTTAGACTTAACCAAAGGCTTCAGTGAGGCTTTTTATCCCAATCTTACGGGGAATTTAAATTTTTCTGGGATTTAAAGAACGAAGAGATATTGTATTTGGTATTTTCTGACGGGTATCAAATAGAAAATATGGATTAATGGCGCATAGTCATCATTGCAATCAGTGAAACCCCGCTGCCCCAATGAGCGGCTCTAGTCCGTCTTCTCATCCCACTTTGTTTCAACGAAAATACGCTGACAATTAGGCAGTTGCGTCGAATTTTTGCTAAAATGTTTGAGGCTCTTGAAGGCTATAGACGATGTTAGGGACGCTTCAAGAAATATTTAGGTCTGATGGCTGACCGCTGCAAGCACTGCTCCTTGCGAATTGAAGCAAACAAGAGTACTGTTATGCATGCTGCACGCAAAAGCATACGAAATTGCAAAAGAAATATCCTAACTTTCTTTACATTTTTCGAGTTTGAGGATGCGAGAATGGCTGTTAACTGTACTTTTAATGCCTCGTCTAGCAGTAGATCAGCTACTTAGGAGAGTTCTAGTGCAGAATAGGGCCTTCATAATAAAGTATAATTACATTTCAATAGTTTACACACAATGATAAGTTTTGTTATTGGTGATATTTCGAGCAAAATTACTGCCCGTGTTCACACCATTGTTGGAATTGTTTTAGTCACACATTTATGATTTGTCCTCACGTATATAGTTCATTATTTTTCACTGATTCATGTTTTTTGTATTCAGAATTACATTTCAAGTTGTTGATAGCTGTACTGAGTAACCGTTGTTACATGTATCCGGTGTGACTTTAGTGAATATCGATTCTGTTATAAGTCTTTCCATTTGTTCATGTTAGTTTTTAGAATACACACATTGTTCCAATCGATATTGTGGTTTTTGCCCATGCATGTGCAGCTACCAATGAATTTTATTTAAGATTCTTGTAAGCTTGTGTTCCTGTTGGTTGACCTTTGGTTAGGCGTTTATGTTCACTCACTCTTATTTTGAGTGATCTGGATGTTTGCCTCACATATTTAGTCGAACAGTCAGCACAAGATATTTTTTAAATCAAATTGTTTTAATCCATCACTTTTATGGGACCTTTCAGTTTATTTATTTAATTTTTGATTAGATTCGTCGTAGATTTAGATCTGAAAAAATGAAACGAACGAATGGGAGAAATTTGTATGCAAAATTAGTCCTTCGAATAAACTTAGAGATCGATATTTTCAACTGCGAAGAACTTAAAACTTTTCCTCACGTACTAGTTCACTCGATTATCAGCCGGTCCCATTTTCGTTGGAAGAGGGAAGTTTGGCCATCGGGCAAGCGACGCCATCCCGAGAAACCAATACAACCTCAACAAAAACTTTTGGGTGCAAGAGAAATGTAGAAATCGAACTTCTCTTCCGCTGAGATCGGATAGAGGGAATTACGCAATTACCCAATTCAACAAAATAATATAATTGACAAAATACCTTGCAATGACCGGCATTTAAGCATTTACATTGGTAAAACTGGTAGATCGGGAGTAGTCAGATTGCTGGAACACAAGAATTTGGCTAGGGGAAGAATGAGTGGCCCGACAAAGATAAGTAATTTAGACAAAACACTCAACAATCGCAATGCATACATTAACAGAAAACCACACAATAGGGGGGTGAGATGGAGTAAGAATTCTGAAAAGAAATACAGATAGGTGGGGAGAGACTGATTACCGAATCTTTTTCTTCATCGGGTCTACACCCAGTCCATGTAGCAGCAGTGAATTAACCGGGGAAGCGGAAAATAATACTGCCAATGAAATGAATAGATGAGAAATAGTGGAATCATACTGACGAAGCTGGGAGGTTGTGTGATTATTCTGATATAATTATGAGCGGCAATAAATTACGCTCGAAACGTCATCAGTAAATACTATTGTATAACACTGCGAGACTTTGTCAAAATAAATTTATCCTTGATGGATAGTGAGCCATCTTTTGAAACGCAGAATTTTCATGATGTCTTACTGTGATGTGCGCCTCAGGTGTTCACTACACTCACCGTCCTGTCGAAATTTCAAAATAGGGCTCATATGCAAGCTGGCTTTTCCGACGCGCACTGAGGAACATTATCCCTGAAAATCTTCTGTTCTGTGCTTGAAATGTGTATAGTTATCTCTTTTCACTCACGATCTTGTGCACCACTATTTCTACTCTCTTTGGGGCCTCTTCCCAACATTTTAATATAGAGAAGAAAGGTAGCATTTTCAGTCTTAGACATTCTAATGAGGAAGGCCGAGATTAGATGTAACGTCTTTACAACAATAGCTTAATGACTACTTTCAAAATAATGATCCATTTAATTCAGCACGCAAAAAACATAAGGTTACTGGCGGTCGCCATATCAGTCTGAATGGCATGTGAACGTTTATGCGATCAACTGATAATTTTTAAAAGAATAATGATTTCCTTCTTTCGGAAAACAGTACTTATAATACAGAATGGAATTCTCAGCATTTGTCACCATATTGCATCTAATTCACTCAAAATACAAATAAAATTTACCGGAGGAACTTGTTCACATTTAAGGTAGGAATAAAATCGAAAATGTGTGAAGTAGAAAATAAAAATAATAACTAATAATAAAAACAGTAGGTTTGTTTCAAAAATACTTTAGATATAGTATGGAAATTTTATTATGTTATAGAGTATCGAATCTTATATTCTCTTGACATAGCATGGTGAGTGGAAAAACAAAAAAATAACGATTATTACAGAGATTACGTGGTGTTCACACTCATAAAAAACAAACAAGAAAGGTAAGACTATTAGTAAAGAATAATGACAGTAAGGCTTGATGGTACAAGGATGTAGGAAAGTGCGTAATGATCACAAGGCCTGTATCCTGTATGTCGTACTCTAGCACATGTTAATCACCTCTCTTCTTACCCTCCATTAACGCAATATTTCGTAATTCCCGCATGAACTTAACTGACTATAAGTATATTATAGACTATAAATTAAACTTGAACCAATATATTGTAATCTATTCTAACAAAGTTTCTAGAGGTTTTTTTCCATTTTTCCAATTTTTGATGTCGAAAAAACGGTGTTCCATTTCAAATTGCACTTGTCAAATATGATCATACCTGTACAAACGGCATGTTAATCATATAAATGCTTATGTGAATGTTTATGTGAAATATATTATTATTATTAGTAGTAGTGGAAAGAAGGCCAGCTAGATCCTCCTGACACTATTTTCATCACATTAAAATATGTGCCAAATATGGCATCGTGGAATTTTTATACTTAGACGTGCGCGCATAGTCTTTTGAAATAACTTCTTGTCTTATCTTGGGGAACGCGAGGGGAAAGCTGTAGGCGAAGTGGATGCTCACAGTCTGATAAAGTGCCTTTAGCGAATTCCTTGCATAAGGTCGAATTCCTATCACTGACAATTAAAACCAGATGGATAAATGGGGTACCACTCGCCCTAGTGAGTCTTCTGAGTTTTGCGAATTATTATATAGTTTTTTAGCAACCCAATGGAGGATAAGGGTGAACAGCACAGAAGAACAGGTAAGATGAAAGAGTTCACTAACTGTAAGAAGAGAGGTTGTGTTATGCCTCGGTGCTCTAACTTCTGAATGTAAAACGTCATATAGAATATTATTTTATAAATGGCTAAGACGTAGAAAGACCAGGATAGGTAGGAAGAAAGAATTAGCCCAAGATACCTATCGTCATATTTGATTTCTATATCACTATCATTAATTTCAAAACGGCCATAGGAATTAACAACTTCATTTAATTTTCTTTCACATCGGAAACTGGAATTAATAGCCTGATATTTGAATGACTTAGTTTAAGACCATTAGACAAAGACCGTTTGCTGACTTCTGATAGAAAGCTGTACATCTCAGTACGGTCTAATCGGGAGTTAAAGGGCACCAAAATAGCTGGATAATACTCATACTTAACAAAGTCCATTTCATTAGGGTGAAGCGAGTCATGAAAGAAAAAGGAAAACAGAAAAGGAGAAAGGACAGTGCCTTGAGGGACAACAGCCTCAGTAAGGATGAAGTGGACGACTTCCTCTGACATACAGTGTACTGCTTTCTTCCTGAAAAATAAGAATGCAGCCATTTAACAACCTAACAGTCAGTTTGAGTTTCAGCAAGCTTATTTAACAAAATATCCCTAGGTACTGAGTCGAAAGCAGTTGTGCAATCTGGGAAGGCACAGCGAACAGATTCAGCCCCTTTCCCTAAACTAAAGTAGACATCA